TTACACCGTCCAAAATTGTTCTTATAGATCTCCCAGATAAATAATTCTCAAGCCACTCGAGAGCTTTCCCTCGAATACCTTTTTTTTCTAATTTCAGCAACAGTGCCTTATGATTTACATTATCAAACGCCTTTTGAAAATCTAAGAGACTTGCGCGAACAATCTTACTTTTTTCCATACCTACATTTATTTTATGGATTACGTCAAGTAAAAGATTAGTTGTTGAGTTTTTCTTAATAAAACCTGATTGAAAAACAGACAACAGTTTGTTTTTCATCAGGTAGTCATATAATTGTTGGTGTACAATTCTCTCACATACTTTCGAGATTGCTGGCAAAAGCGTTATTGGTCGATAGTTGGTAGGATCAAGCGAATCTCCTGACTTGAACAAAGCATTCACATAGCCACCTTTCCAGTGATCTGGAAAAGATGTCGTGCTAAATGATGCGCGAATGAGATGTGTTAAGCACTGTGTTATAGAGGGTTCAAGATATCTTAGCATTCTATTGGTTATTGTTGGAGCTGTTGATTTGTTAGAATTCAATCTCTGCAAAATTTTTCTGACATCTCTGTACGTAGCAGTAAATACGCTTAAACGAGACGAAGCTGGTGGTAACTTATCAGCAACAGAAGAGAAATTAGAATAACCACTCCATGTACAAATATTAGCAAAATGTGCATTTAGAATTTCAACTTTGCTCTGAACATCTACTCTGACATCTCCATTTTTATCTTTTAATGCTGGAATTGCTGTCGTACGATCACGACCCATTGTATGTTTAACAAGCGACCACCAATTTTTGGACGAAACGGACACTTTATGATTTATTTTTTTATAGAACTCCACTTTAGCCTGGACACATGCTTTACGAAATTTGACAACAGCTTGTTCGTAGTTATTTTTGTTTACTAATGTAGGTTTACTAATCATTTTACGATACATTCTCACTTTATCTTTATGTAAGACACGAAGGTCATCCGAGAACCAAATTTTATCCCTTGGCTTTAGAGTAATGACTTTATGCGGTATTACTCGATTGACCTGTTCAAGAAGAATCTCTTCAACTGCTACTGCTTTTTCATCAATATTAGTATAATTTCGTAAGAGAGTATCAAATGGGATCTTACTACAGATATTGTTCAACAGCTCCCAGTTTGCGGTTTTATAATCATAAATAGTCCGCGTCATTTTAGTTTTACGTAATATTTGTGTTTTAACATCAAACTGGATGAAGCTATGATCACTTTTGTCTAGCTTAGGAACTATACGCACATTACGAACGAAGGTGATGTCATCAGTGATTACCAGGTCAAGGCAAGTACCTGAACTCGGTCGTGTTACACCTACAACCAGTTGAGAGAGATTGTGTGATTGCAAAAATGTATTTAACATCATACCCTCTGCTGTAGATACAACATCATTCCTACTCCAACCTTGGTAATGCGCATTAAAGTCTCCAGTAAAGATAAGGATATCCTTACTGTATCGGGACTTTAGAAAATTATTGATTAGATTTTCAAGATGTGTTAGAAAAGGCTGCATCTTTTTAGGATCTGACTGAGGTGGTCGGTAGCAGGAAAAAACAGTCACATGCTTATGTGAAGAGAGTGTAATACGCACACAGAGAATCTCAAATGATGATTCTTCAAATTCTGCTAATCGTGTTGCGTGATAATCATTACGAATGAGTACCGCACAGCCACCACCCTTTCTATTACGATCCAAGCGCACAAGAGGGTGATAGCGGGGTAAAGTAATTTCAAAATCCTTTATTGTTTGATCCAACCACGTTTCGGTTAAAGAGAGAAAAGTAGGTTGATATAACGATACATACGCTTTCAGAGAATCGATTTGTGATGTAACACTGCGTATATTCATAGAAGAGAAAGTCAAGTCTGTCGTCACTTTGTTGTTTTGACTAACACTCATGGTGGAAGAAATATTTGATAAAATGTAAGATGCTTGACGACACATGGTAAGAGAAAAAGACAAAGAGAATTGTCATATATCAAATAGTTTAGTATATTAGACGAGAGAGAAGACGAAACGAAAGACACTAAATATGTTGTGTAAGTGGACGAAAAAAAATGAAAAAGTAAGAAACATAAAGAGAACATACAATCCGACTGAAGAAAATTGAATTTGTTCATAAGGAGACTCGAAAGAGATAAGGAGTAACACACACACATCTAAATGTTCCCTATGTGAGTAAGACTGTTTAAGACGATTGACTACGTCGAACGATGACAAATGTAAATTATTACCTTGACCCTGATACAGCATTACACTCCCATTCCGTGTGAAAACTTTCTTTTTATCCAAATGACGACGAGCATAAGTAAACAACTGATGATTTAACGAGGATAAATGCTCATTTATAAAAACTTGTTTATTAGTACCTTTGCCAAGATCTCTACGTTTTGAATACAATTGCTGCCTATCTGAATAACGTACAAAGGCCGCAATAATGGGTGAGTGTTGTTTATTACGTGATCGTAAACGATGAGTTGCATACAAATCTTTAATATCCAAATTAACACCAATTGATTTGGCCAAATCTAATACTACTTGTGATGTATCTTCTCCCTGTGTTAATGGAATACCATGTATTATTAAATCGCGCCGCTTTGAGTATTGATCCAAGTCGTTTAGTTTCGATTGGAATTTAATTGCACGATCATTTACTTGTTTTAATTCAGCTTCTAATTGTTTAATATGATTCACGTATTGTTTCAATTGATTATCTATAATACCTGCAATTGCGTCAGTAAATGATTTTGATGTTATTATCATTTTTGTCATTTCATTAATAAGATTAGAAGATAATAAAGACTGCTGTAATTGTAAACCAATTACATCCGATGCATCAGTTGTAATTGAGGTCGTATCAAATTGCGGTGACGAGGACATTTTTGATTGTTTATTATCTTGATTTTCAGGTGATGTAAAATTACGTTTCATCGAATCAATCACAGTAAAAAATAAATAATAACAGTCGTATTTTATTGCATATGTGTGTCTTTCCTATCCACTAAAGACGTGTTGACCACATGAAGAAGAAAAGAGAATGAAGAAGAAAAAAGAGAATGAAGAAGAAAAAAATATACTTACTTTATACTTGGGCTTAGAGATATGAAAATTAATATTCATCTATACGTAACGGATTAAATGTCCAACTTTGAACATTTTTAGATTTGTAATACGGGAGAAAAGGCAACTTTTTAAAAATTGACCAAAACTTTGGCTCACCCTTTATAACAGTTGAATAAAGTAAAAATCATTTCGTAGTTTCTTCATCAAATTGTTTATTTCATATAATACTTTGTGCTAAACAGTGTTGTTCGAAAGGCCTTCCTCTTAGATGCTACATACACGCATTTGCTTAACCCTTTCTGCTTCTCATTTGAACATTAAATCATCGTTCTCAGCTTCTTTAGTTCGATTTTATTAGAGTATATATCTCATTTACACAGACATGGTTATTTCTTGTCGCTAACAGAGATGGGTGAGTACGTAGATTCTCTAGTACGAGTACTGGGTGTCGTGTATGAGTACGAATATTTTCAAAAACAAGAAGATACATATAAAAAAGTTTTAGCTGCCTAACAATAGCCATTTTCAGTATCTTTCTGGTTATCCGTTGAAGGAGTGTTAAGTTCTAGGATGTTTTCTATACATTTCTTCGTTAGAATTCCTTCAAACAAGTTTATTTTTTTAAATCTTCTTGATGATGGTATACAAAATTGCTCATCATATCTATTTTCACAGTCATTGGCATTATTACATCGCTTGCTATAAGATATACAAGGACCAAAATCATCGTTGATCTGACAAGCAAATTCTCGTTTTCGATATTTATTCTTCGAATGATTGTCACTGCACCGTTCTACATTAGTTGGAATTTTTGTTCTTTGTTCATTCTGTTTGATTTATCTAACTTTAATAGAAATAATTTGTTCTGGTATTATTTCTGGTACTATTTCAACACTGAAGAGTATCATACGAACAGGATATGGTTTAAGTGGTTCTATGCGCTAACCAGCGGAAATTCCAAATGGCTGACATGTCTAAAATTAAGCAAATAGCTATTTTATTCTTTTTCTCAAAAATAATGCTAGTATGCGGACAGCGATAAAAAAATATGCTTCTTTCGTGCACTTTGTCGTTTTTTTGTATTATCAATTCATTGGATGAAAGTTATAGATTTAAACAAGAATCAAATGAGATTTCATTTCCTGTTTTCAGTTTTTTCTGACCAGCTACGATTATCGAGATATTCACAAAAAACAGCCCCTCTATAGTGTAGAATAGTGAATATCTCGGTAATCGTTGCTGAACTGAAAACAGGCAATAAAATCTCATTTAATTCTTGTTTAAATCTGTAACTTTCATCCAATGAATTGATAATACAAAAAAACGACAAAGTGCACGACAGAAGCATATTTTTTTATCACTGTCCATGTAATATGCGAATAAATGGAACTTTTTGCATAATAATTAAAAAAGCCCGAACTATATGAATTTCACCAAGAAAATACTAAAATAATTAAATAAAAAGAAGTAAAAATCAACAGTTGAGCAACCAGTTCGCGGGACGACTCACATATCTGGTAGAGAGTCAAGAAGTGCCACTTGTCAGAGAAGTTCCTTTCGAAATTCATTACAAACCTTTCACGAAAATATGCTATAAGAAAAAGAAATTTTCTATAAGTTGAACTTATTATATGATTGTTGTTGTGCAGATCTTTTGATCTTTCTATGTCACAACATTAATTACTACGAAAATGAATATACAATCTACCTTTTGTAGTCCACCAGAGTATAATAACCAACGGTTGGTGATTCTGCTATGTTTTCTCCACTTTAATCTTTTGTTTAAGTTAATTAAGGCTTATCTGTTCCAGAATGGATCTGATGAAATCGATCCTTTCAAAGATCCAATCTTCGATGATATTTTTGGCAATTTTTTGATACAATCGCAGAAGTAAATGAAATAATGTAAATTTAGTACTGTAATAACCGGTTTTTCTTTAGTTCAATCGAGAAATGAAGCTCAGACAGCATTTAGCGCATTGCAGAGGACAAAGTCTCACGAATAAGTCTGAAGTTATTAGAACTATTTATAGTTAAAACAGAGATGTTAAATATCTGTTAATACGCTGTGCGATACTTAATAAATTGCCTTTATTAGACAGTCACTACCCTTTTAGATACTATAACTGCGAACATTTTAACGATTAAAAGCAGCAAGTCTCAAAAACAGGCATTAGGTGGTGATCGTTTTAAGTCTGTTTTATAACAGCTTTAAAATAATTCTGTCTATCAGTCCACAGTTTTAAGTCATAATCAGCTGTGTGTTGTGGATAACCTAAGAGGTGACTAATCATTAATCCTAGTTATACTTCAAAAAGAAGGAAAAAGTAAATAATTAAGACATTTTTGCTTACTTTCACTATTTTAAAAACTAAAAGAGAATAAATTAAGCGACTAAACACTGGAAAGGAGAATCTGATAATTTTTAGTAACCTAGAATAGAATATATATGATAAGACTATTGAATATTTTCTGTATATCGAACGAGATGTACTTACCACGGTTATCATGCATACATTCTATAAATTATGCAATCAAGTGTAATACTATCAAAGTAAGAAAATAGAATAAAATAAATGAAACTGAAAATGGAATATTAAAAACTAATGAAACAAACAAATGGTAAAAACGAAATGAATGAAATCAATCTGAAAATCACTAACAGCTTAATTTTTATTGTTAATTAAATTCATTTACAAAAGAATCAGTAAGAAAAGACAAATTGATTCAACTTGATGTACCTATTAGATAAAAATGCAACAATTCTTTTTATTTGGATATGTTGTACAGTTCGATGGGCCACGCTAGAATAATCCCCTTTATGGAATCATAAGCGTTAAAAAAATGATCAAAATTGAGTTACAAAATTCATTTTCTATGGGTTTGGGGAATGAAAAAGTATTTTGAAAGAAATCGTACCAAAAATGCTGCACAAACGGTGCATGGTGAAAAAACATTTTTGCTACAAAAACTGTGCACAATGGCCGACTACGGGGAATAACGTTGTCTAATTTTCAAAATTTTCTCCAATATGCTTTAAATTTAAATTCGTTTAAGCTCAAAAGAACTTAAATTTAATTTTTTTCAAAATTTTTCAATTATCTCTTGAAAACAGGTAACGCTACCCCCGTAGTCGACCATTGCGCAGAGTTTTTGTAGCAAAAATTATTTTCCACCGTGCACCGTTTTTGCAGGATCTTTGGCAAGAGTTTTCACACTGCAGTTAAGGAGTGGCTCCGTCTAGCCGTCAAACTATGTCAGTTTGAAGAGCACGATTGAACTTAAATTTGAAGGATTGTAACATGGTGGCTAGATAGACCAAAGTGTTCTCTACAATTCTGCGCAAGGTCGACCTCTCGATCTGTTGTGGTTCTCGAATGCTAGGCATTTATCTGACGAAATAGGTAATCAATTACGGATAACTCAGGAAAATGCTTGCCATTCGAGAACCATAACAGATAGAGAGGTCGACCTTCCGCAGAATTATAGAGAACACTTTGGGCTATCTAGTCGTTGTATTGAAATTAAAAATTCACCTCCGGTTCAGAATCTGGCAACCTCATCGCTTTCCATCCGTCACCTGAAAAATCGAGAGTTTTAGTACCAAATATATCTGAGATGAAGTAAAGCCTTCTCTACAGGATGCTGAAAACCCGAACTCTCTGTCTCTTTTCGGCGAAAAACCGGCTTTTTACCAAATTGGGGTTTCTAGAATTATGATTTAGTGGAGAATAAAACGAACATCGATGATCAGCGTGCTCGATTACCTATGATCCCCATGTTTTTGAGATTCTCAGACGTATCTGTAACGAGATAGGTGTGTTCTCGGAAAATGTTTGTATCTCTGAAACCAAAGGAGATGAAGACTTGGGTCTTACCTAGTTTTGAAGAGAAATGTTTTGGCTATCGACTGCTATCGTTTCAGATTAAATATTCACGTCCCAGAATGTCTAGTTTCAGAATCTGAAAATCGCAGGTCTCTAGCTCTTATCGTTCAAAAGTTATAAGCTTTTTTCTCAGTTGCCTTCTTTAAAAATTCCGATAGTAGTCATTGTTTTTTATGAAAAAAGTCAGTCCATGTTTTATTGTAAAATCCTATGTTGTATTACCTATTAGTACATCGATCCTACTTGGAGAAAGATATTCACCTTTTATAATTGCTGTTTTATAACCTAAATTTGATAAGTTATGACTTTTTGGAAACCTAGCTTTTTTTGGTTTATCATGGTGATACAATGCGAAACTTCGTATACTATAGCAAATTTTCAGCAGATGTATAGACTGACTGCTTTGAAGAGAACAAGCATGTGGATATTTTTGCAGGGAGCCTATATGACCCTGTTCAAACATATAATTTCCGAAAGTCTCCATAGGGTTTATTTTGCCTATTTTCTGACTTGATCCTACAACATAATCCAAGTTGTTATACTGGTGGCATGATTTTTGATGAATACTATACCATTCTCTTCATCACACAACATATAAATTCACTTTTACTTCTGTTGATTTAATTTTATTAAAAATGTTTAATACTACCATGCAAAAGAGCTACAAAAATAATCAACGTTCATTTACTTCGTTTAATAACTCTTGTACTCTACTAACGAGGAAACATATGGACATGTGTCATTCCCTTTTCAATGATTCATACCTCCATCGATGGAGTATATCGAAGTTGTTAAAACCCTCAACGGACTTATTTATTGACGCTACCGACAACCGTTGCCACAAATGGACGATCATTTTGAAAAATGAAACTTGTTAAAAATTACCCGAGAGCAACATTCGACAATGAAAACCTCTTTTTACATGATAGACTAGTAGATATCTACTTGGGCTTGCCAAGATCTTTGAGGATTTCTAGAGAG